GTGATGCTTACATTATTCGTATACCTTAGCTTTGTGATGCCTAACCATTTGATGCATATTCATCTATTACATGCTACTATGGTATTGCTTATAATATCATGTTAAGTTGTCAGGAAACTACTGTTATGTGATATGTCGCTATCTAATATGTGTATGATGTGGAATGATCAACCAACCTTAGATCATCACCAACCTAGATGATACTAAGCACAATGCATATAGTAGTATACTATAGAGTCATAAGCATCGATGATAAGAAAGTATTGAACTAAATGAGCATCGATAACAAACACATAGGCACCAAAACATAAAGCATCAATGCATACACACATGGAATCAAAAATAGGCACCAAAACATAAAGCATCAATGCATACACATAGGGAATCAAAAATCACAAACATCAACAAGAAGCATAATATGAAACCATAGCATCAATACATACAACGATAAATAAGTACATATTCTCAAACAATCAATTTCGAACTAGCTATACATAGAAGAGAAGGAGGGTATCACCATCAATGATGAAGGCATCCTTAGTTGCATCCTCTCCTATGAATACTAAGCTCTCACTAGAACAAAGTGTTTGTAGAAGTTTTTAGTGAATTTATGAGGCTACTAAACTAATGAGTCTAAGCCTCTATTTATAGTGGTAAAACTCGGCCAAACCCCTCATAAACCTACTAGGAAAAGGTTTATTTGAATCAGGGCCGAAGCAAGGCCTAAAGATCTTCTATTTGGGCTTGAACCTTCTTGGCAGCGGCTGGGCGGCGGTTGGCGTTGGCACCACTTTTCTTCTTGGGCTGGACTTCTTGTCCCATGGACAACCTCTCATAAAAATTTGATCACGATTTGTCCAGGTTTCCATGGGAGGCAGCGCTGGTTCTTGCTTATGTTTGGGCGAGTCTTCCTCCAATGGGCTTCTCTTGGGCTCTACTCGGGGTTACTAGTAGGTTTACTAGTAGGCTCCTCTGTCATTGGACCTCGTCTTTATCATGAAAGCTCCATATTATTCTCTTCATCACTCCTTTGGTCCTGCAGAGTTATCCAAAACTTGATCCAAATCTTCCTAAGTTGTTTTATACCTTGAAAACCATTAAAAAAAAAATATACCAAGAAGGCATCAAATAGTATAAAAAACACAATCTAGGTCTATTAAGGGTTCATTGATAAAATAGTTATGAAATACAAGAGAAAGTACTAAAGATGCGTTGATAGAAGGAGAAAATGTATCAAATATGGTAGTGATAAACAATATAAGTAAAGTGACATCGGGTGCCAAAATGATCATTGTTTTTACACTAAGGTGTCGTTTGGAAGTTGAGATTCTTCAAATATGTGTATTTGATGAATACATCTATTGTAAATACAAAGATTGTAAGAATTAGATGATTGGGAGAATGTCTTGTTTGATTGTAGTCATTCAAAAAATTTAAAGAAAAGAAAAAAATCACTTTATGAGCTAAAAATGAAACAAATTAAAGCCAACAATCTCAAAGGAAGAATCTCACCTTTTTGTTGAGATTTAAAATGAGTGATTGTGGGTGATATGAGATTTGAAGGCCCACCTCAAATACATGTATTGAATAAAGTTTTGGAGCAAAAAAATGAAGGATTCTCCAGAATACATGAATTCAAAGAATCATTCATCTAGAATCATAACTTCCAAACGACCCCTAAGAGATTTTGAACCTTTGGGTTTTGGAGTTCCTCTGGGGGCAGAGTAACCTATCCTTAATAGTTTTTTTCTTCTCATTTAGAGCCGATAAGTATATTTTTAAGCTTGAAAATTAAGTTTTTCCAGAGGTATTTTAAAAGAAAACCATTAAGCTCTAATTTGCTCTTTGGCTCCGGTTGTGGAGTGGCACATGGTCTCGATGATTGTCCCATGAAAGCTTCCATGGCCAACTCCAACTTGGATTTCTCCTCGGGTTGTGGAGGGAAACCTTCTTGATATGGGGAAGCCTCTTCATACCCCCAATGGTATGGTTGTTCTTCTCGGAAGGGGGGTTGGTATTAGAACCCGGATCCTTGGCTTCCCCATTCTTGTTCACTCCATGAAGCTCCGGGGTACCCCATTCGGGTGGTTGTGGATATCCCCACCTATTGTAGAAGCCATTGGGATCCATGATTCATAACCTACACAAACAAAAACACAAAAACAAAATCAAACAAACACAAACCACCCTTCAAGACGAAGAGTGGGTAAAGAAAACACAACACAAAACATAAAACACAAACAAAAAGGCAAGATAGAAAATGCTAGAGTAACACTAAGCGACCTTTTCTAGATAACAGACCGTAAGGTCCCCGGCAACGGTGCCAAAAACTTGACTCGCACGAAACTACACAACAAATTAATCCTGACTAGAGTCCAAGTTTTAAACTCTAGCCGGGTGCAGTATAGCGTAAGTATTTAAATTGTCAACCCAGGCCGGTCCATGTACCCCTACTTCAATTGCTTAGGTTGTTATCTAGCAAGCAACTTTTGGGTTTGTAACTAATGGAACTACAAACTAAACAAGCAAGGAAAAGTACATAAAGGAAAACTCTAACTAAGGGAGCTTCACCTAGGAGTTGCTTCCCCTAACTAGCTACCAAGACTCGTTGGATTGAAACGATTGCTATGAGCAAGGTAACCGCGAACTGTAGAGGGATGCATATATGGTCGGAGACCACAATCTCAATTGCTAAACCGAGGTAAGCATGAAAGGCCGTGTCACTCGACCCTCTCGGTTTAGACAATCGGTAGTTGACTTACTCCTTCACTCAACTCAAAGGTCGGACGATTTAATCGCAATTAACCGATTTTCTTAAGTCAACATTGAGGGTTGCCCTAACTTAACCTAGTTAGGTAGCTTACAAAGCGGAAGAAAAACCAACTCGATTGAGTCTCCCTTGGAAGGGGGATTTTCCTCTCTAAGCTAGGATAAGGTGGCTAATTAGATTGTTAGCACCTACATGCACAAATTTAAGGGTGCTAAGCACAATTATGCACACTCCTTAGGTTGCTAAGCACCAAAATGCACAAACCTAAGGATGCTAAGTACAAAACATGCACAACCCCTAGGTTGCTAAGCACAAGCATGCACAATCATGATAAATACTACCTCAATCATTGAATTAACCAATACCCAATGACAATCATTCAATCTAAACAAGTAATTACAAAGTATTAGTTAGGGATCTACAACACCCAAAGAGAAAATAGTGAGTTTCTATAGAGAGAGAGAGAGAGAGAGAGGGATTACAGATTTCAGCTCAAGATCTTCTTCTTCTTCTTCTAGGCTTTAATCTTCCACCTAAGCCTCCAATGATGCTCCAAGATCACTCTAGCACTCTCTCTCTCTCTCTCACTAGAAATCCCCTTTGGTGTTTTAGGTTGAAACCCTAGAGAAAGAAATTGTTTCTTCCTAAAAACCCAGCTCTCCCTTCTCCTTCAGCTCCCCTCTCCTTTTATACCCAAATCAGGCTCATTTCAAGGTCTTAGAGCTAAGCTCAAGGACGCGTTGATCAGTTCACGGTCTTAGTTCAAGGACGAGTTGAGCAGTTCACGGTCTTAGTTCAAGGACGCGTTGAGCAGTTCACGGTCTTAAACCTCAGTTCACGGCCGTGAACATTGAAACGTGTCCGTGAACTTAGTGCTGAGACCAAAACGCACCGCTTCACATCCATGGTTCACGGTTTGTGCTTATGAGTTCACGGTCTGAACTCACTCGGTGTCAGTAACCTTCGCATTCGCCCTGGACGCTTCGCGGTTCACGGATTCTGGCTCCAGTTCACGGTCCTGTAAGACCTTGAACTCCAATGGCAGACCTTGAACGTAGGCTCTTTCCTCCTTTTTGCTCCTTTTCTTCCAACTTTCGAATCCAGGGTTGGTTTCACCTGTTGGATCCTGAAACACGCTAAAACACAAGAAACCTAGCGTAAAACCACCCTATTAGGAGCGAAATTGCCACAAACGCCTAGAGAAAACAGGGGTAAAATATGTACAATTAGGCTTGAATCACTCTCTCATCTTTTTTAAAAATCATTTCAAGTCTATTCGATCCCTGATGGCAGCTGTCGTCGATGGGTCCTCGTCGAGCGTTGTTGGAGACGGTCATTCTCCTGTTATTCTCTCTTTGGAGCTGAGGAGGACAAATCTTTGGAGTATTTTAAGCAGGAACTTATCAACAGATTGATGCGAATCCCCATATCTGTCATGGAAGCAGGAGCAAAGTATTTGGAGCACAACTCATGAGTCCTTTTTTTAGGGGTCCTCCGTCTCTTGCTACGATCCGATCTTATGAAAATTGGCTATGGGGACAAGAGGGGTGGTGAAGGTCTCTTGGTTTGAAGATCGCTTTGTAATATTTTAGTTTCCTTCAGAGACGGTGGCTCGCTGGGTATTTAAAAGAGGTCCTTGGCACTGTTGTAACAAAATGTTATGCTTACGAAAGTGGGTATCGAGTATCCAAGCCCTAAAGATCAATAACTGAACTATCCAAATTTGGGTAAAACTCTCCAGTTTACAAGCTGAATTGTCATCAAAGGAGGGTTTGGGTCGTGTTGTCAGTCTAATTGACAGGTCTTTTGTATGGATCAACCAACGAGATTTGGAAACAAGGTGGGATCAGTGAAAATCTGTGTAGAGGTAAGCGCCAAAATATAGAAGGTAGATTGAATTAGTACTACCCCTGATGTCATGAATGATATGTTTATCTTAGTAGAATACTGTCATGCCCCCAATGGTTTGTCATTCTTGCTGTGTCTTTGGGCATGATTGTGCTTTTACCAATTGAGGGAAAAACAAACAGAGTCTGGAGAAGAAGGTGGATATGGGTAGTAGTGCAGGTGTTAAGGATCAAGATGATCTAGAGCAAAGCTGTGGGACAGAGTGTGGGGATGATTTCAGAACAAGTAGAGATTCGTTTAGTCACTCCTAGTCCTAGTGCACTGCCTTCCCAGAAGTTTAACATTGTGCCAAGAGTATTCCTTTGTTCGGTTAAAAGGTCCACCCATCAGGACTGGGTGTGAGGGCTTGACCCACTTTTACAAGGAACGAGGCCCGGTGAGCCCATAAATGAGAAGGAGAAGAGATAGAACGGGCCCAATGTTAGTTATAAGAACGCATGGCCTATCCTGAAAAATTCTTTTCAATCCTACTGGAAGAGAACGACATCCACTAGACACAGCCACGCCGCGCTCTCTGACCCCATCACCTCGCGAGACCTCTTATCCTCCAAGCCAACCCATCCCCTCTCGACAGCCATTGGAAGTAGGCAACGAAAGCGAGAATCCCTCCAATAGAATACAATACTAGAAAAAGGCAACGAGGAACAAGAAGCATCCATGTCGGTCTCCTCCTTATTCGGCTCTCCACTGCTGCTCCTACCCAAATCATCCTCCCCTTCAACGTCCTCCTTCAAACCCTTCAATGGCGGAGCAACACGACTGACTCCGGCTCCCGGCGGCGGCGGCGGGTTGGTGATTGAATCCTCTTCGAGGCCGACGAAGAAAGCGACGGCTCATCATATGAAGACGAGGCCGAGGAAGAGTCAGCCGTGGGATATCAGGCGAAAGCCCACCGTTTACGCGCCACTTCCGGAGCTTCCTCCCGACTGGACTCTGGTTTCCGCCGCGGAATCCCCTGCCGATGGCGGTGATGCTGATGGCGGTACTGCCGTTGAGGCTCCTTTGCTTTCTGCTCCTTAGTTACAGGGATCAGTTTCAAGTTGGTGGTTCCTTCTTCGTGCTGTTGTCTTGCGTTTTGATTGTAACTCGGATGGTCTGTTTGCTGCTCTGCCTTTATGTACTCTTGTTTTCCGTCCCTTGATTACATTGGAAATGTCGCACTCGTTTTCCGCTTCTGATTATGGTATGATGGTAATGGAGTTTACTGCACAATAGAACACTAACTGGTAGAAGGATTAGGCAATGTGGCAGACCAACTGTTCGACGTTTTGCCTCTTTATAAATTAATGAGGGTAAGGAGAACGAGAAGGGAAAGCAAGCAGTATAACTTTTGTTTGCGGTAGGTAGTAAGCTTAAATTGAAATAGATTGCTAGAACAATGCAAAAGAATGAAGAACATAAACGTAATGAATCCTTTTCCAGTGAAGTGAGGAGAGAGTTCATATTATTCTACCATGGAATAGGAAGAAAAGAATGTACATGGAACTTGATAAAAATTATTCTAAGGAACCCGTGGGGGAATAGGTCAGGCGAACACCAAACAAACGCCTATACAAGAGATCTACGAAGCTGGCTGGTAACTTCTTTTTGATTCACCAATGCCTCATAGCAGAGCTTTGCACAAACACCAAATCCGACTGTCGACTACGTGAAGGAAGATAGTGAATTGATGCTGAACCCTTTCTTGCTGTGCTGCGGCAGCAATCAACCGGTCCATAATTTACAGAGAGCTGGAAGGGTTTGGATCATTCCTCCTTGTGCATGGGTTTGAAATGACTGGTCCGCCTTCAAGCTGCAGCACGAGCAATTAGGACAGCGAACTAAAAAGCTGATGCATCGGCCTTCTTCTTCTTCGGCTTGCAAGTTCTCGAGTCCCATTCTTCTCTTTTGCCACAGTGTCACACAACTGTTTCCTTCTTTTTTTTCTTTTTCTTCTTTTTTTTGGGGCGGAGGGAAGAAAGGACGCGACGTTCATTGGTAAGGTCTCTTCTTGTATTTACTCTGAGCAAGGCCTAAAAGGAAATCTGTAAATATGTGCTCGTATTCCGGCACTTTCCCATAACCTGCAGTGTCAAGGACACACAGAGGTAAGCAATTACTTATAGATCTTTGAGACAGGTCTAAGTCATGGCTGTACAAGCTACCAAAACAGAAAATCAGACATTACCTGGGAAGTAGTTAATGTCGATGACATAGAACTGGTCTCCAGTTCCATGCTCCCGTATTATATCCAAATTGAAAAGCCTAAGTCCCTGAAATAGTATAAGCACAGCATTAATCAACGTGTGAAACAAGTCGACGGAATTGGCATACAAGCTAGGAAGAAAAGCTGCAAATCTGTACATAACAATTACCAGTCGACGACGAAGTTCCTTTCCAAGTTTCTCAAGCAAAGGTCGCGGTGGAAGCTCTGTCAGGATTGGAGTATATTAAGAGAGATTTGTCAGAAACACAGCATGGTTTGTTGATTGAGCTGTCATCTAGTAGTATCATACTGGAGCAAAACAACTCACCAGCAATAACAGGATCTAGATCAGCATCATCAGCAGAAGCTGCAGCACAGGAAACACGAGGAAACCGGCAAACACCAGCATTGTTGGCAAGCTCTCTTTTACAGACATCGGGCAAAGAGAACCGCCTTACAACCTTTATGGCTTCCCCAACAATGTAGACTTTGAAAAGTACGCCTCCTACAATTATATATAGACAATAGGCTAGATTATAATCATGATCACAAATCACAATGATCATAACAACATAAGTTTAACATAATCTTACCATGGTTAATGAACTCCTGAAGAACAAGTGGAGGTTCAAGCTTCCGAAGCGAGTACTGATCATAAGCAAGGGACAATTCATGTGATTTTGCACTCCCATCAGCAACCAATGGTTTTGCAACTGGAGCAAATATCACTAAAATGAGTTTTCTAAGGCCGCAAAGTTGGTACGAAAGAGAGAACACATGAAACAAAATGCAGAGACACACCTAACGGAAGCGTTAGGCCAGCTTTTGTAACTGCATCAGGAATAGATGAGGCATCCTTCTTAATAACCAATTGCCTTGGAACATCAACTTTTCCTAAAGCAACAAGATACAACACAAACTCACAGTAAGATTGTGTCAATCTCACAACCATGAGTTAAACAATTTCCATGGAAATCAATCCGATATAAAAAAATGACTTTAGTAAAGTAGACAGACCATAGGAAGTGGATAAATTCATGTCTGCAACACACTGAAGCATGGACTGGCGGTTGTGCAAATGTTGTATCGCATCAGGAGGATCAAGAACTGTTACTTCTGGATGTGTTTTTCTGTAGTCCTGAAAAAAGAAAGCCAGTGTGGAGTGTAAGGGACAAAAGTGCAGCACATTTACTTGAGAAAATTCCCTCAAATCAAATCCTCAAGATAGTTAATCATCAATCAAAAGGGGCTTAAAAAAACAAAACATGCCGAGAACATACTGTTACATCAAGAACAATCACAATTTTTGGAACAAGAAACCGACAAAGTGGAGCTGAATCATGCTACTAATATGCCGTAGTGGTTGGCATCATGAAGCAATTTCTGCCACTAGCACCAGCACCTAGATTAGTAATTTCTTATGGTTTACATTGTCGTGCCACAGGAGAAAAAACAGTGCTGTTGTCATAGAAATCTTCCTTGCTCACATGGATATCCCCATTAAAATACGAAGCTATAAATCTTCAGGTGGTTCAAGAAACCAAAACGGCCAGTTTCAAGCATCAACAAAAAAAAAAAAAAAACAATTAAAAAGTGGCCTAAATGGGGAAGAAATTCTCCCAACCCCACACCGCAGAGAATAAACTACAAATCTCTGAAGAATACCTAAGCATATCACCCACCAATATCATCTGGACCATGACAAGAGTACAGACACAGGGATCTTTTAGCATACACGAGGTCAGAAGAGAAAACTTTATCATACCAAAAAATGAGAATATCATACCAATACACAAGCAATCATCCTCATTAACACAGATCCACCCGCCAGAGTTTTTTTTTATAGGACTCGTCCACTAAAACTGAAGTTCCAAGTTCTCCAAACCACATCTTAGTCACTTAGATGCAAATAGATGTGTTTCCCAGATGTCAAGAGGCCAAGTACATTCTGATCGAATTAACAAGCAAAAAGGGCATTTTATGTATCCAAAATTGACCTCGATGAAGTTGAATAAGTGGGCAATATACAGGCAAAAATCTTCATTTAAACTTCGGTTTACGCCTTGAACTAACAAATATGGGATGGCTAGCTTAACTGTGGGCTAAGCTCAGGGCCACATTTCTTACGAAAAAGACAATTTGTCAGGTTGAGGCCAGATAGCTCCAACAAACATCGCGTACTAGACTAGCTTTAGTGGGCTGCGCTTAGCACCAACATTTCATATCACATGACACTTAGTCAGGTGAAGTCAGATAGCTCAACAAAATATCTTGTGGAAACCTAAGATATTTAGTGATCATTTAGGCAATCACTCACCCACAGCAATTACTATAAATGACATCTGGCAACATCTCAGAACAAGGATAAAAACAAAAGGAATCCTGCCAACTTCTAAAAAGGAGATAGCACAGTAAGCAGATAAATGAATCAAAATATGCTTACGAAAACCTGAAAGAATCAGATAAATGACCATGGAAGTAGAAAAATCCACACTTGCTGGCCTCGCTCTCAACTATCAAATTCATGATGCATGGAGGAAAGGCTAGTATTCTGCAATTTTTGTCAGACATATATAAGAGATGCAAGCATTTAAAACTGCTAGTTGATGCAACAGTTTACAGAACAAGGAAAGGTGAAGTGATAGTTGACTCCAATACTAACACAGATATTGCAAGTAACTAAGCAGACACTAAATAATCTATTCTCTACCCACTAATGCTCAAAGGAGAAGAGCAAGAAAGAAAGACGCACCTCAAGAATCTGGCGCCATTCCTTCCCAGTAAGCTGCAATAAGAATTACAATCGGAACGTGTGAGCCCTCCACAAAATAAGGCTACCCATGAAACAGAATTAATGTGAAGAACCGTGTAGAAATTAAAATCTAACCTTGTGCAGCACAATGTCAAACGGTCCCTGATCTGAAAGTGGCCTGCTTTGATCAATTGCAACAAACAAGATCCCTTTGTTCCTGAACCATTCCAAACATTGCAGAGGTTCAGCAAGACATGGACAAAAAGGCTACCAAATAAAAGATAAACCATGCGCTCTGATAGTAACCATCACAGTTGTATCATTGACATACATGCCAGTTCAATGGTCGAGTTCATGTCGCTTTAAGGCTAAGACCGTATGTCAATGGAGAGATCTCCATAATTCAAAACAGAAGATCAAACTTGCCTAAACTAAAACCAATTTTCCTACAGCAGGGAGTCAAAGTCCACTGCAGATAATAATTTACAACATTAGCATAGAAGTCCTGACTACACAGAAAGCAATAATAAAAAGGATTTACAGGGAAGTGAAGGAGGTTGTTGAGTGCCCATTTCCCTTTGATTTCAATTTCATTTCACTTTCATTTTCTCACCCACCAAACGACAAAGACAGGTAAATACCAGAATATTCCAGTACCAGTAGCTCTAGACACCAAAAGAATCCACCAGGAGAGAGAGGCAAATGAAAGAAAAGAAAAGATCTGAGCAAAACGTTAGAACAGACTCTCCCCGCGAATCTAAGCCACAGCCGCAACGAGCGACGGTAATTCCAAACTGCCGAAACGTTCAACAAACGCGAAAATACAAAAGCAACCGTTCTCAGCTTCCTTCTTTTTTGCTCGGGCGATAATCGAGAACAGTAGCAATCCAGAATTACAGAAAGCAAAATCGGGAAATGTAATCAGAGAGATATATGATGAATGGCAATTATTATTCCAGATTATCGCATAGGGATTTATTTGAAAATTTACCTAGCTAAACCTTCGAGCTTAGGCTGCAAAAAGCTCTTAATCTTTTTGGAGGTAAGGGCGTAACCGACAATAACGTGTTTCCTCTGAAGAGGAAATCCAATCCCTAGCGCAGCGGAGACGTCCATCACCGTGTCTTCCACTTCCTCCTTGTCGTTGTACGGTCCTCCGCCGCCGCCTCCGTTCACATACGGAACAATCTCCTCCTGCAACCCCATCGTCGATCCGTAAAACCTAATTTTCGTCACGGAAACTTTCTTTCACCGTCGGAAAGGAGAAGATAAAATCGGGGGTGGCGAGAAAAATGGCGATTCAGGATACGGTCCTGGTCCCCCTGAGAGGAAGCTAAGAAGGAACGCAAAAGAGACTGAGAAAGAGCGGAGCAAGGGACGGGGGTGAGGTGTGATTGATGGCTCAGCGAGTCAGGAAAGAGCGAGTGACTCGGAAGGTTGAGAGAGAGAAGCGAGAACAGAGGGGAAAACAGAATAGAGAGAGCAGGAAACGGAAAGGACAGAACGAGAACGAAGGCAGGGTGAAGAAGAAGAAGAAGGATGAACGGGGGATATGGAGATCGGGCGAGAAGATGTGACCACGGGATTTTGTAATTTTTTCTTTTCTGATTTTGTGTTTTTTTTCGAAGACACACCAGAAAGATGGAGCCAGTTGTGCGATTTATATAGCGGTGATAGCTTTTATTTTATTTTCTATTTCGATTTAATTTTTGTATATTCAGAAATTGACGCGTATGGATTTGTCCTTTTTTTTTAATATAAAATTTCTTTCTATTTTGTATGTTTATGACTAGGGATTGCTAGGGATGACAATTTCGACCTGACCATTTTACCCAACCTGTTTGACCTGTTTTGGGGCGGGGCCGGCATGGGTAGTCTCATTGACCTGACCTGTCCTGACCCGCCCCATTCTCGACCCGTTCTTGTCTAAATTACATGTAATCTTAGTCAAATTACTTAGAATTTTCCTTTTATTGCTTCATATTCTGGCTATAATAAAGTTGTAAATTAGTAAAAACCTCAATTTCTCCAATAATTTAACTACAATTGTCATAATTTTGTTTTTTTTTCTTAGTCTTATAATAAAAATAACGAATATTTCTAATGTTTTCATATAAATTGCATACCCATTGGGTCGACCTGCCCCGACCCGCGACTTGTGATCAATTACCCGACCTGGACCCGACCTGCCACGGGGCGGGTCTGGGTACCAAGAAACCCGCCCCGGACCTGCCCCGTTGCCATTCGGTTATGACATAACATAGGCTATGTTTGGTAGGGCTGGCAATTTAGTACCAATTTTCCGGTCAAATTGAAAACTGGAATATATGTACTTGTCGGGTAGTAACCACAAATCGAATTAGTCCAATCAATTTGATTTTTGATTGGAGGAAGAGTGTAAACTATATTAGGGGTGAACAAACACACCCGCAAATTGACCCACCCGTCCAACCCGACCCAACCCACCCGTATTTATCGCTAAAATTAAGGTTTTGGGTTGGGTGAGAGTTTTCTTTTGTACAACCCGCCACTTTTGGGTTGGGTTTGGATTTTGGATTACACAACCCGTCGAACCCGACTCAACCCATGTTCCAACTATTAGTATGAGTTCGTGTACAGAAAATATTTATGTCGTATATAACCATACTTATAAGAAAATTAAGATATTTTGCCATGTTTTTCTCCCATGGTCTCCCTAATCTAATGCATTCATCGACTTAAAATTTAGACATAGATTTAATATAGCTATGATTCACGTAATCCTTTTTCTTGTGTACAATTTTAATAGAATAACATATTATGGATGCGTTTGTTTATAACCTATTTAGCCTATTTAAACAAATATTGTGAAAAAACTAGACATATGTTGAAGTAAATTATATTTTATTAAAATTCAAACAACATTTGTGAATTTCGATACCTTTCACCTTGGTTTATTCGTTGAAATTTTAATTAGTTATAAAAATATTTTTATGGTGTAGAATAATTATATATTTTGTGTTGGGTTGGGTTTTTCACTTAAAATTATGGCCAACCCGACCCAACCAAATCGAAAATAAACCGTAGAGTTATAATTTTTTTGGTTGGGTTTGGGTTTAATATTTTCCAAACCGTAGTGCATAGGTCAGGTGATTAAAATGACTAAAGACGGACCACCCGACCCATGTATACCCCTAAACTATGTCAGTATAATCCAGTTAAAACTAGAAAATCTGAACAAGATGGTTAGCATGGGGATGGGGAGCCTCTATATCTGTCTCAGTGCGTGTTGATACCGTTATTATTATTCATTTTTATTTTCACTGGATATGACCAACCACCACGTCATCCTCACTGATTCTGCCCTACCTTTACTACAAAAGAGATAAAATTTTATTTTTAATGTATTTTCAGTTTAAAATAGGATCAGACGATTTTCAATCAAATCAGGTCGCAGTTGAAACCATTTTCAATCCAATTCAATTTTCAATTGTTGGTTTGGCACAATTCTGCCCTACCTTTACTACAAACGATATCTCACTTTTGTTACATCATATTTAAAAAAGTTGTATAAAAAATAATAAATTTGTACAATGCAAGATGATATCCATTTTGATTTTTTATAAAAAAACTTCAAGTCATCTTACCACCACTTGTGGATCTAGGGGTGGACCACCCCGGGCCACGACCCAGCCTTCTCTAGGTTTAGAGCTAGTATAGTACATATGAATTTTTTCATTTTAGTTATTCGGCCTAATGCTATTTAAAATTCGGGTCAATGCTATTTGATAATAAGATTTTGTGTAACTAGGAAAATGGTCCAAATGAACATATCCAAACCAGTGCTATAAATTTAGCCTAAAAATTCTAGCCCCAATGACTATCATTTGAAAAAATAAAAAAACAATGAATTTAAAAAGTCTTACACGTAAAAGACTAAAAGTATAAAGTTTCATAAAAAATCACTAAACTAAACCCCACCCCTCACCGTAAGAACTCAAAAATTTCCTCCAACCCCCCAAAAAACAAAATAAGAACGAGGAGACGAACATACTCTAAACGGATTCCTCCGCCAGTTCATCGAGCGTTGGTTTTCGTTCCATTATATTGAGAAAAAATATTTATAAACTTATTGAGTCATCATTTAGATTGCTTCAGTTGAGTAGTGCACTAAATCCTAAAAATCCGGTCTTTTGATGAAGAAAATATTTACAAACTTGTTCAAGAGTTTATCCTCAAGACTTTGAAGGCTATTAGATGCATTCTTTGAAGAATGAGCTATAATATTATGCCACTCATGTAGTTCATAGTCAGGAATATGAAGTTTCTTCCCTTGCAAAATTACTAGAGAAGTTGGTGGAAATAGGGATAAACAGACAATAGAAATTGACTTGTACGTTGATTTGTCTAGTGTTGACCTAGCCCGTTTCAACGTCTACTACGAAGAGAACATTTTCAGCAATGAAACATATGAAAACTTATTTGTGCAACAAAATGAGCAATGAATTTCTTACTGATTGCTTAACTATTATTTTAGAGAGAGTATATTATTGCTATGGATGAAGACTCGATTATTAATGAATTTGCTAAATTAAAAGACCGTCACATACAATTGACATTATAATGAAAACTATAATAATCATTTTTTTTTACAATATCTAATTTTCTATTCAAATGCGGCCCAGTGCTCTACCATGTTCTGAATCCGTCGTTGCTCACCGCTATAATATCATGATATTACCACAATGATATGGTGGTGTTGTCAGTCTTATTATAATGGTCAGATCATGGTACAATATTGATAATATGAGATTATGGAATCTCGCCAGTGTGGTATGATGTTGGTATGAAAATAAAGGGATAATATGAAATCTTATCTTTGAGCAAAAATTTAAATGTTATCATATCACTATCATAATTATCATATTATCATAGTGATATTACCATATCGCTATCATAACTATCATATTATCATGATATAATAGTGGTATAATGTTTTGTAGTCTTACCATAGTGGTAAGATTAGGGCGGGCAAATCGGTTTTTGGTTATCAGATAACCGTCAGTTAGAACGATAAGTGTCGGTTATCGGATAATCGAAAACCGATTCAACAATTTGCTTGTTCGGTTGACAAAAGGGAAGCGAGCAGCTTCGGTTAGCCGAGTAACCGACGACGATTAACCGCGGATACCCGGCTAACCAAAGCTAACCGGCGACGCTCTCCGAATCTCCCAAAACGGTAGCATGCAGACCCACCCCCCAAATCCCCCAAAAATCGGGCTCTAAACTCAGAAGCCACAAAACCCTAGTCCTCGATTTCGTCCCTTCTCTCATGCTCCCACCGCTCGGTCGCTCCCCGAATCTACAACGCCAGGTCTTGCCTTCATCCTCCGCCTCCTTCCTCGGTCTCCACGTTGCCGCTTCTGGCCTCCGCCTTCGTCTTCCCACGAGAAGCCAAGAACAGAGTTGACAAGGACATCAGAGAGGGAGACAGTCAGCCACCGCCTACGTCGCCACCTCCCTCTTCCCCGGTCCGCACCACCTCACCGGTCGTGCTGCCCTCTCCGCCGCCTCTCCCCCGGACATGTTGCCTCTCCATGCCACCAGCCCACCACGATTTCCAATTTCCCCAATTCCCAAATGTAAGTCCTCCTCCCTTTTCTGTAATTTTGTTTGTTTTCATATGAAATGTGATTGTGATTTGTGAATGTGATTGTGAAATATGATCGTGATTTGTGAATGTGATATTGATGTTTGAAAGTGGAATTGGGGTAGGGAGACGAGTTAATCATTGATTGTGATGGTGAATGAATCATTGATTTGTTTTCTCTTGTTAGGCATGCAATTGGTTGTCTGTAGGGCGAGACCTTCGGTTCCTCGCGGTGGACGTGGCGGACGAGGTGCTCCTACTGCTCAGGCTGCTCCTCGTGGTGGGAGGCCTCCTCGACTTCGTGTTGGTAACAGTCAAATAAACCCTCCTGCTCCAACTTGCTTGTGGTGGCTGTTTAGGAAGTCGTGATGTTGAAGCTGTTGAACCGTCTTCATCAACTCCGTCAAATCTCCCCCCTGCCAAAGCTGGAAGTACACGTATTGAGACTCCAACAACTGTCAATGTTGGACCATCTTCATCAAATCCAACTGTTGGCACGACTACTCCTGCTTCAGAGAAAGTTAAAGACGACAACTTAGATATAGAGAAATGGCTGAATACGGAGGGTAAGGCTGACTGCTTGAAAGATTTTAATAATGTGTTGGTTGGCGAGTATTCGATGGGAGAGTGCAGACATTGTCATAGTCAAATCAAAGCTCATCCTTTCAAAAATGGGACTTATGTAATGAGCAACCATCGGGAATCATGTTTGGCTAAAGTGATAGCATCAAGCAATTAGACAGTATTGAACTTGCAGACACGGGATGGTGGTCAAAGTCAAGTACGTCTTTTATGGAAGTTTGAAGCAAAATCTAGATATGCCTTAGCCATGATGATCATTATGGATGAGTTGTCATTTTGATTTGTGGAGGGAAGGGTTTAAGCAATTCATGTTGGTTGTTCAGCCATTGTTTAAGATACCTGGGAGGAAAGTTATAAGAGATGATTGTTATCATATCTTCTTGGAGAAAAAGTGATGTTGATTGAGTTTTTTGAATCAAAGAGAAAAGGCAGAGTTTTGATCACCATGAATACATGAAATTATGATAAAAACAAAAATTACATGTGTGTGACTGCTCATTTTATTGGAAGTGATTGGAAGTTGCAGAATAAGGTTCTATCATTTGTTCCCATCACAAGTCATACTGGAAAGGATATTGAAGAAAAGCTTGCAGAAGTTCTTGAAGAATGGAAAATGAAGAATCTCTTCTGCATGACCATGGACAATACAACTTCAAATGATATTCTTAGTGACTGCATGAGAACGAAGCTAAAGGAGTGGGGGTGTGATTTGATGAATGGGAAGTAGCTGCAATTTTGATGTGTGGCACACATAATCAATATGGTGGTGGGAGATATACTGAAAGTGATTGGAGGTGCTGTGGATAGAGTTCGGGATTATGTGAAATGGGTGAAGTCATCTCCAGCTAGGTTGACAAGGTTCAAAACTGTCATGCAATTTCTGAAGGTGAATTTGACAAAATTGGTGTCTTTGGATGTACTAACTAGGCAGGTTCGGCCTTAAGGGTGTGCCAGTCGGCCCTCCCGCACAAGGCCTCCAAATTTTGGGGCCTACAGACCTCCATTATATATATGACTAATTACTATAACGAATTATCAGATTTCGATTATAAATTTAAAACAATAGAAAATCTATAAATTGGGATTTGATTATGGGTCTAAAACAATAAGAAAACATTTAAGTCCGAAGGTTAAAGGAACGAACGAATCACATGAGGCGAATACTTTTTTCTTGTTAAAAAAATTTCAAACCATATAACATAACTTATTTTTTGTCGTGTGTTTCCTAAATAGCACAAAGAGGTAATTGATGATGCCTCATTATTATCATTATTAAATTTGTTGTTTTAATTTTCTTCATTTTCAGCTTTACAATGGGAAAAAGAATTCAATTTCTGCAATTAATCTGCTTGTACTACCAAGACAGTAATGCTAAATTAATTAAATAATTCACATTGATTTATTAAACGTTAACCAAAATAGTTATGTACAAGCCACCAATAGTATAAAGGAAAAATAATAACTAAATCAATAATAAATAGTTGTTTTTTTTAAATTTTAATTTTTTTTAAACATTTCGATTGTTTTTCTAATGCAAACAATATTTTATAGAATCTTATTAACTATTCTTGTGACTGTTGCTACATCATGAAGAAGCTTTTTGAAATTGAAGGTGTTGAAGTCTTATATTAAATTTCAGGGCGACATTTCAAATTTTCGAGAAAAAATTTTAGGGACACACTTTAAATTTTCGAATAGGGCCTTCGAATATCGTGGGTCGGTCCTGCTCTAAAGGAATGATCTTGTGGATTTGAATACAAAGTTGCAAACACTCCATCAAACATTTCTGCTGACTCAAGAGGTTATGTTGATTCAAGATCATTCCTTTAGAGATTATGTTGACTCAAGAGGTGGTCTTCCAAATGAACAAGATTGACAACTGATTAGGAGATTGATGAAGTATCTGAAAGTCTCCAATGACTTGACCAACCTAGTGTCGGGTATGTGGAATTTAAATTTCATTGTTTTATTTTATCCATTTGATATTTTATTTGTTTTACTCTAATTTTATGTGTTTTCTTCTTATTGTACAAGAACTAAATATGTGACTACCCATCTCTTATTCAAGAAACTTGTTCAAGTATATGACATCATTGAGGAATTGAAGAAAGATTCGAATGAAGAGATCCAAAGGATGTCAAAAAAGGTTGTAAAGAAGTATTGGTTTGAGAGTCTTGTTTTCGGTGAGGAGAACATGAAGCCGAATCACTTAATTTACATAGTATATGTGCTTGATCGTAGAAGTAAACTTGATATGGTGTCTGAGGTTTTGGAAATGATTTATGAGAAATCAAAGGCAGAAAAAATTGTGAATTCTATTTCTTCGGAGATGCGCCAGATGTTTAAGGTTTACAAAGGAAAATATGACTCACCAACACCACCCTCCTCTGCATATGAGCCTACCACTGATGAGAGCATAGTTGGTGATAGGATTAAGAAGCTTGAGGAGAGGCTCAGGAAGAGGAAAAGGGAAGCACTTCTGTAGGAGTCAGGAGGTAGTTCTGCTGAGCTTGACATTTATTTCAAATGTAGTAGTACTGGCATTAATGAGGAGAGTGATGATGCCAAGTTTGGCATTTTGGGTTGGTGGTCTCGGCACTCTGGAATATATCTGATTCTAGCGGATATGGCTAAGGATATCCTAGCTGTTCCCATCTCTTATGTTTCCTCAGAGGCAACATTCAACTATGGATGCCAAATTCTCACGTCCATTCAGGTCCTCTTTGAGCGATACTATGGTGGAGGCATTGATTTGTGTTGAGGATTGAATAAAGTATCCAACTATCGGATCCAAAGAGATTGATGACAAGGAAGATGATGAAGAGAAATTGGATTTCGAAAGTGGTGAGAACTGAAACTCTCTTATTTCTTTGTTGTTTAAGTTTTCACTATTCCTTTCCACCTAACTCAATGGATGAATCCTAACACTTTGTTTTCTTTTTCGATACTTAGTTAATGCCACTTTCCAGCCTAGAATGGAAAGTGCGAGTGACACATGCAATGTTTCCAATGTAGATGCTCTTGCAATAGAGGAGGACCAGAAGGATGAAGCAGAAGTGCTTGAGGAAGAGTATGAGGAAGATTTTCATGACGATTATGGTCATGACTTGTTGGACCAATTGAAAGAAAATGTTTTTGTAAATGTTGGTTCTTCTCCTGGTGTTGATGAGTGATAACTTTAGGGAGTTTATGTTGCTAATTTAGTTTATTTAGACATTTACTTGCTACTTGGTAATGGTACTGTGAATTGTGGAGTTAAATGTTGTTGAATTTGACTATTTGATACTTTAATTTTGTGATTTATATGTAATTTTGATACAAAAGAGATTGAGACTTTACTTTAATTAGGTGATTTTACTGATTTTGTATGTAGGTGGGGCTACTGCCGGGTCGGGTACTAGCTGGTAACCCGGTTTAAACCGACAACACCATAGTTATTTGGTTTCACGACTAACCGAACCAAAAACCAAAAAATTGTTGGATCGATTGGTCGGTTAACCGAAGTTCTTCTTCGGTCGACTGTATGTGGACAATTGGGCGTGTTTCGGTTAACCGATAACCGAGATTTTAATTTGGTTAGACCAAAACCGACCGTGATCCACCCCTAGGTAAGATCATGATATGGAAGTGATAAGATTACCAAACACATATTTTGAAGGGATAAATTTTTTGGTCACTCAAAATACAACAAAATGTGTGTAAATTATCGGAAAAAAAACAAAATGTGTGTCATTGTGTATATCATAATTTAGGTACATCCTATGCAATTTTTTTTAAAAAAAAATTTAGAGTAAAAATGAAAAATATTTAAATTATATTCTTTCATATCATGATATGGTCATTGTAATATGACAATGATACTATTATAGGCAACACATGTTTTAAATGGCTAAAATTTTTGTTATCAAAATATAAAAAATGATAACATTGTGTATATCATAATTAATGCATTATTTCTACGCAAATATTTTTGTAAATTCCAAGTTTAAACGAAAAAGATATGATTAGATTAAAAAAATAAAAATTATAAAAAATAAATTTTGACTATTCAAGAAAATTCTCTTCTACTTTGAATTTTGTGCCAATCAAGGGGAAGCAAAAGAAAGACAGAGGGGTAGTTGAATTATCAGTCAACTCCTCCTTTTCCTTATATGAATTATGGATTGTTCAACTGCATTTTGACTTTTGATAGAAGGCTACATATCAAAGTTTGTAGAATAGATTTGTACCCTATCCATTCCCTGACATTTTGACTTTTGATGAAAGACTACATATCAAAGTTTGTAGAGTAGATTTTATACCCTATCCATTCCCTTTATTTTTTTTCCTTTTTCCGTTTTGAATTTTGATGGAAGACTACAAATCAAAGTTTGTAGAATAGATTTTGTACTCTATCAACTCCCTTTGTTTTCACCCTTTGTTCCTCTCTTTTTCATGTAACTGCTAAAATGATAAATTTTATCTTTGCTTTTTTATTTTTCTGGGGCATGACTAGTAATTTCGTCTTCTCTTTGCTAGTTCACACGCTCTATCTAAGTCTACTGTTATTCTGTTGAATAGAGTTTTGCTGCACCACGAACCCCTTGCAGCTTTACAATTTATAGCTCAATCGTCTATGCCGCTAACAACTCCAATTCGCCCCACATACCGTCATCCTACTTTGAACAAGGTTGCCAACAGGATTAAACCTTTGCTCCAGTGTT